AAGATTCAGATCCCGATCAACAAGAGGGTTGTGAATAGTTCAACACCCAAACTCCCTTCAAAGCTAGTAAATGTCGTCCTATTTCGTTTATTTTTTTAATTTCCGTTAATTTTTTTAAAAGAGACATTTTTATAGGCTTATTGGACATTTTAAAATATTGTGTAAAAAATGTAAAACTTAACTCTATCATTTTACTTTCACATTTAATTTATGAATTTATTTATATTTAAGTTTCGAACTTTTACACAAAATTTTAAGAGTTAGTTTTTACTTTTTATTAAATTGTTATAAAAATTATAATGTAGCTTATATCTATCATACTTATAATTTTTTTAAATATTTTAAAAGTTCTTCAAACATGTTTTGATGAAAAAAATAATAGAAGATGTTTGAATAAAAATATTATTTTTGGTGCTTCAAGTGCATAGAACTTTAAAAACAAAATATTAAATATTTAAACACTTCACAAGTTTAAAAGAATTATAAGCTTAAATAAATGTAGACTTCTTAACAATACATAAATAGTAGAATCCAAATTCCAAACGTCCTCTTACGATGGATGGAGAAGAGAAGAAAGGAACTTGGGAGGGGCAGATCTCGCGGGAAGGTAAAACAATCAGACGGCTGCTATTGATTGAAGAAAACACAGGCGATGATATGATGGGAGGGTCATCTTGAAATCCAAACTCCTAAAACCCCATTATGGGGAAGTGTGGCCGAGAGCAGACAAAAATCATGGGATCTTCATGTTACCCACGATAAAAAAAGAAAGAAAGAAAGAAAGAAATCCCATCCATCATTTTCTTGAGCCTGAGACTGAGCCTGAGCCTCCTAAAAAGAAGCTACACTTTTAAATTAATTAAGCCTCAAGTCTCTCTCTTATCCACCCTAGTTTTTCTACTTATTAATCCAGATAATCAATAACTGTGTTTGCTGGCAACCCATTAATTAATGTTTTATTTATATTATAAATGTTTAGATACATATTTCGTATAAAGAAAAATATTAAAGATGTAATTCAACATCAACCCACATCCATAATTCATGTGTCTGGTTAGAAATAGAGCCAAAGGGGATGTTTGTAGTGAGAATAGGTTTTGGTTTTGGGCGTTTTGGGTTGTTGAGAGTTGAGGAGGGAATCTATTATGCTTTTTTTTTTTTTTGCTTTTTTACTTTTTACTGATTCTCGTCTATATCACATCTAATTCTAAACCAGCTTCATCACCTTTCTGCCTTTTCTCTTTGACTCTTTCTTTTTCTTATTTCTCTTCTTCTTATACATTTTCTCTTTTAATGGTTTCAGGTCTTCGCTGATTTGGGTCTTCTTCTTCTTCTTCTTCTTCTTCTTCTTCTTCTTCTACCTTTGCGTTTTTCTACTGGACCCTTTTTCTGTTTCATGATTTCAGGATCTCCATCTTCATGGTTCTAAGTTTTCTTTAAAGCCTTTCTTCTTTTCACTTTTGTTTCTATTGATTGTTCTTTTCCCATTTCCGAGTTATACATACATATATATATATATATTCATATATTTTCTGTTGGAATAATAATATGGTGAACAGGGGTGAGGGGTCTCCTCCGCTTCTCACTTTGATAAACAAAGAGTCACAGTGGTTAACTAGGAAGGATGGAGAAGAGAGACGCCATGGTAGCTCAGAGGAGAAAAAGCTTGAGCTCAGGTTGGCTCCACCAGAACAAGATTGGTCCAACACAGTCGCCAACAACAAAAAAAGTGAACATCAGTCTCTTCTCTGCCTTGGTTTCTCCTCTTCAACCGCCAACAATGTAAACCAAAACCATCCATGGACGACTCACCACCACAAACAACACAACTCTCCTCCTCCATTTCTCCACTTTTCAAGCACCCCCACAACGGGAGGAGTTCCACACCCACAGCCCTGCTTGCCTGTTATGGTAAAGGAATCGTCACAGCCGTGTTGCACTAAATTGGTAGACCTGCAAAATGCAGAGAAGAAAGCGTTTTCACCATCTCCTGCAAATACAGCTGTTCTCAACACCTCTCAGAAAAGGTACTCTACCTTTTTCTCTGTATGTATCTATATATATTTATATATTTATCTTTTTTGACAGAGGATATTCTCATGCTCAGACTTTAGCCTCATGCCTCACACTGCATGTTTTGTGGTCCTTGAACTCATGAATGTCTATGTCTATCCGCCATTAAATTTCTTTTTTTCTTTTTCTTCTGTTTTTTAACTTTTTATATATGGTAAAAGCATCTCTATTTTTGTCATGTTTTTTAATTTGAGCTCGGCAGATTTGTTTTAGTTTTTTTAACTTCACCAACTAACAAGTATTATTATTATTATTATTTACTATTCTTGTTGATATAGTTATTATCTTCCTGATGATGGCTGTTTTATCTTTTGTTTTAGCAACTTAATCCGCTTGCTTCCTGATTTGTTTAACTTGTGCCTTTTTCCCTTTTGCTGTTTGCTTATCAATTTTTCCCAAACCCACTTGTATATCTCACTCTACATATCTTATCTCTAACTATTGTTTAGTAGTTTTTCTAGCCTATACTTGAAAATTTTCTTTGAAAGCTCATGATAATTAATAAATTTATGTTGGGAGACCAGAAGTGCTTCTGGTCCAGTGGTTGGTTGGCCTCCAATTCGATCATACAGGAAGAATCTTGGTACCAGCAGCTGTTCAAAGGCAGCAAATGGGGACCAAAGCAGTGATGAGAAAGCAGCTGAAGTTAGTTGTAAGAAAGGCATGTTTGTCAAAATCAACATGGATGGAGTTCCCATCGGGAGAAAAGTGGATCTCAAAACCCACGACAGCTATCAAAAGCTTTCTACTGCTGTTGATCAACTCTTCAGAGGTCTTCTTGCAGGTATTCTTCTTCATTGTCTTCTCCACTTGGGTATGGAATACATACCCTTTTCCTCTCATTATTATGCTTTTTAGGTGATAATTGGAATATGAGTAGTTCTTTTTTTTCTTTGGTTCCTCTTGTTTTTATGATATTAAATAATTTGACTGAATCGATTAGAAAGAGCTCAATCAAGTGTTTATATTCTGACGTGCCTCTCACGGCTAAGTTAATTAGGTTAAAACGTGAATCAAATATTTATACTCCTACTTGCCTCTCATGAGTAGGTACACCTGTGTGAAGGCGTGAATTAAAGCATAGGTTAACCGGGTTTTGAACTTGAAATCAGGAAAACTTATGGTTCTGATATTATCTTAAATAATTGACTGGATAGAATGTCCAGAATATTAAACTTACTGAAAAAATAAATCTTCAATATGCACCCAATTATACAAAATTAAGAGCAAAACAGGAAAAGACATCGATTTAACGTAATTCGTCAAATATGCTTACATCCATGTGTAAGATCGAGAAGAAACTTTATACAATAATGAAAATTGAGAATACATTACCAATAAAATTGTAGGCTCTTATATAAATAAATAT